TAAGCCTATACCTGCCTGGGTTTCTACCTTCTATGTCTTTCATCTGCTAAATCCCTTACCAGGCTCGGCTGCATGTCCCTTCTTCCCTTGACCCATCATCCCAGCTGTGTTATCTTCAGATCCACCGGATATATGACGTAATCATCATGGTCACCCTATTATGGGTACACTCATCCGGATCCAGGTCGCTTGGATCCACCTCACTGTAATGGTACACTCGCCGTGGATCCGAGCTCTCCAATCATCCAACATCATCTCGCAACCGTCTGTGATCTCCGTTGTCCCACGAAAGTTCGAGATCCACTGTATCCCTCATCCCTATACCCTGGATCCAGGTCCCTCCAGGCGGGATCCTCCCTCCTTGGATACGAACTCAGAAGTATGGGATCCGGGGTACCTCGCGGTGGATCTTGACTCTTCATTAGCCGTGGCTACTAGATCCACCGTCAGAGGGCACCGACCATCCTTCCTTCATAGGATCCACACTCGATCCACTCTTGTATAGTATATCCCATATCCATCTTAGTGAATCCAGGTAAGGGTGGATCCCGAGGTAAGTCTTGGTGGATCTTGCCTTCTCGTACATCGCTCATATCAGATCCATCGTCATTCCATACGGGGTGCTGCTCGCCATGGCTAAATCCACCACAAGCAAACTTGCACCCGTGCCAAACAACCCAAATCCTCTATAATCACTTGAAATTGTCACTGATTCGGGATAGTGACCCCGCGTCAGGACCATTCTCTTATTTCTGAGAAAGCACTTCACCACAATCGCCTCCTGTACGTGGTCGGCGCTGCACAACAGCGTCCACGACGTACACTACCAACATCCACAACCGCTTTCTCCTCTTCGCGACACATGTCTCCCGCCAAGCGTACCGGCAAATCGTCGGGCAAGGCCCCATCCACTACCCCTCCAGTGAGTCCGTCTTCCATGTCGCCCACCGATCTGCGGGTTCTAGCCCAGGCTCTTTCCGATCAGGTGCAAACCCTGACGGCGGAGCTCCAGACGGCTCAAGATGCCCAAGACCAAGCTGCGTCTCTACACACTACCCAACTTCAGACCTTGCGGGCCCAAATCCATGACCAAGCGATGGAGATCCAGGGGTGGGAGCACCGTGCGGCCTCTCGGTCGCAGGACCTGCGACTCCTGTTGGCTGATCAGGCGGTCGAGATCCGCGACCTGACCGGACGGCTGGATCGCGCCTCCCGTCAACGGGACGTTATGCGAGATGACAACACGGTCCTGTTCCCTGAGTTGCCTTTTCGGGCTGAGTGGATATTCCCTCGGACAGCGGACGCCATCCCGAGGGCCGGGTACGTGGATTCGCTCATCACCAGACCCCTCGTGGAGGAACTGACAAGTGCTGCCCCGTGGGATACGCTGGTCACCACACCGGTGGATCCGGTTAGCTTCAGGGATGATGTGCGTGGGCGACTCGGGGTATTCGTTCGGGCGTTCCGGGATTTCGCCTCCAAGCACCGGGTTGCTAT